AACTTTCGTTATAATGGACTTTGTTCACATTCATAGTCCGGCTTTAATTCTCGACGTTCGTTCATTCATTTAACGTCAACTTATTAGCATGTTAATTGCATTTAGCTTCGCAATCGCGCGCACATCTTTCACTAAAGTATAGCACAACTGTTTAGTCGCACTTTGATTCCTATGAACTTATATGGAAGTTCGCACACTACTAGATTTTCAGTTGTGCTACGACAATTGAATTGGCTGCGAAACAATCGACAATCGCACAGTGGAGGAATGGGGACAAAAGCTACTCTATCATACTATACTAATATTATAAATGCGAAAATTTAGATAGATAGATGAACGTTTGTTAGAGTTTGTAGCCTAAACAGCTGAATGGATTACGATTAAATTTGGTGTAAATGTAGAGGATAGTCTGGAAGAACACATGGGGTACTCACTTTGGTTTTTATTTAATATCACGCGGGCGGAGTTGCGGGCGAAAGCTAGTACAAATACAATATGCGTAAACACGCACTACTTCGTGACGTAATATGTCAGCAATCACAGTATACTTTGGAATAATTCTTTAGCAAACAGATTACACTTACGACACGCTTTAGGTTTTACATTTCTACGCTAATAAGCTTAGGGGGTAAATCAATGGAAAAACCTTCACGTGGGAAAGGGACCATACACTACATGTTGCCAATATAAAGGAAACAAGGTTATTACGGTAACGGTAATGTGGACATTTGCAATCGAGAATGACAAATCTAAATAATAAAAGTTTTTTATAATTTCATGGGGATGAAGCGACACGGGAGTGGCTAATCTTACTAATATTATAGATGCCAAAGTTTAGATGGATGGATGTTAGAGTTTGTAGCCTAAAGGGCTGAACGTATCTCGATGAAATTTGGCATAGAAGTAGAGGATAGTCTGAAAGAAAACACTACTAACTTTTGTTTTATTCCTCCAACTCCAAGTGAACGGAGTCGCGGGCAAAATCTTGTCCTTAAATAACTAAATACTTTATTGCTTATTCTTGTTTTATAACAATTTGAAGTAGTTCACTTCTATTTAAGTAAAATGAAGCCAACAAGAATAATAGAGGTCCCTCTAAATCGGAGTTTAAAAGCGGTAAATTAATTTATCTTACAAACGGAAGGAAAGTAATTTCCCGTAAAATATTACCCGAATTACTTTCCCTAGAAATTAAGGAAGACATTTTCGGTTTAAATTATTTAATTACATAGAATTTGATTTGATAAGGGAAATGATATTACTGAATTAAATCAGAATTCCAATTATAGCTATTGTTAAAGAAAACTCGTTTTTAAATATTTGAACGCAAATTGAAATATATATAACGCAAATTCTAAATTGACTTCGAAATAATACAATTAGCTGAGACAACATTTGGGGTTTAGAATTAAATAACTCTTTGATAAATAAAATATCGATAACATGGACTCTAACAAAACACAAGGTAAAGAAACCAGAAAAAAAACTACAAAGATAACAAGGTTGCTGCAAAAAACATAGCAGCAGGAAATAAAGAAATAAAAAAAAAATGGACTCTACTGACACTTAAGGTTAAAATACTATTGGAATATCTCATCAAAATGGTACACCCAGTACCCGAGCGATGACAATTTATATTGTCATACTACCTCGTATATACTCGTATATACAAGAGCGTCACAAATCGTCGAAAATTATGAAATAATACATTTAATTCATCTATACTATTAAAATAAAGCGTAAACACACACTTCTTTGTTGCCTAAGATGTCAGCAATCACAGCATATTTTCGAATAACTCTTTTTTAACAAAAAGTCCTACACTTACGTCACGCTTTAGGCTATATATTTTCACGCCGTTAAACTTAGGGGTAAAATGGATCCTGTGCTGGGGCAAGTCTTGACGGGGCATGGGGGGTTTTCAGCTTACCTCGTGCCTCTGCGACCCGGCAAGGGAGGAAACCGTGCTGCGTATCCTGGTCGAATGTCCGGTCTTCGCCGCAAGAAGAACTGAAACAGAAACAAAAATAAATATCAGAATAAATAGAGACAGTTTAAATAGCTTACTAAGGAATGAAGCTACGAGAGAAGAGTTTATTGAATTTCGAAAATAAGTAGGGCAAAATGGGATATTTAGAAATAAGACAAGATAGGAAATTTTGTAAACAGTTAAAGTATAATATTGTAAATTTAGTTTAAGTTTTAACAAAGATAATAAGTTGAAAATAGGAAAAAAATAAGCAACATCCCAGATCCAAATGTTAGGGGTATGAGAGGGCGGCACAGAGCCGCCCAAAAAAAAACTTAGGGGTAAATTTTTGGATAAAAACCCTAATGTGGGAAAGAGACCATAAGTTGTTGCCAACATCAAGGAAGCAAGGTTGTCATGGTTTGACATCATGTCATGTCATTTTGACATTTGCAATTGATAATTTGACAAATGTGAAAAAGTGAAATTTTTATAACTTTATACGGATGAAGTCGCATGGGAACAGGTAGTTGAAAATAAATATGCATAAATAAATTAATAAAAGACTCGTTAATCTTTCATTTAAAAAACCATTCTATTGATAAGTATTCTCTTTTCTTTGAAATAAAAGACGACGACGCCGATACAAAGAAACTTACGAGGGCGATGATAATTTCGAAAAATGAGTGTTAGAGGTGATTTTCATAATACTTTTTAAATAAATACGATTTCCATTTTTTTTACTTAAATAAGAATAGTACTTTTCTAAAACAAATAAAAATACACAATACAATTTTATCGCAATTTAAAACTCGATTAGTATTAGATTCTTTTTCGTAGTATTTAAGTATTTTATTTTTAACGCATTTTATTTCGTGGGCACCGCACTCGAAATCTCTTTAAAAGACGATATATTTGCTTTGGATTTCACTTTGACGGGCAGCGTGCCCTCCCCTATTGTGTTACGGGTCTAATCTTTTTATCACAACGTTTCTCTTTGTTACACGCTAGGATATCTTTTATTCCTTTCTTTAAAAGTTTTTAAGTACATTTCTCATACACTATTGTGTGTAGTGTTCTAAGCACAAACAATTTACTATCTTAATAATGCAGGCGACACACGTTTTTACATGTCAATTTTGACCTCGCAAATCGTTTTCTTAGTAACAAATCTGCACAATTATGTATGTGATATCTGTCATGCGAAACATAACGTGTATGGATTGCATTAATCCACAACTTGTGATATGGACATGTTACGCGACGAGATAATGGGGACATAAACAAGATAGGGTTAAAATTGATTGGGGATGGCTACAAAGGTAGAAGAAGACCGAATAAAGTATGGATGGATTGTGTGAAAGAGGATATGCTTAAGAAAGGAGTGGATTCAGATATGACGGCTGATAGAGATGTATGGTAAGGATATGGTCAAGTTGATGATGACATATTGAAAGTTTCTATATATTTTTAAGAATATCGTAGAAGTAAAATCAAAGGGCAGTAATTTTTTTTTAATTTAATAAAATAACCATTGCGTTACACGATCTTGTTTCTGTCCTATTATAAATTGGAATAAGGTCGTTATATTTAAATAAACGGCAATACCAAAGGTCTTGCCCATTTATAAATCAATCTAGAATATCACAACCCTGATCTTAGATTTAAATATACGTTGCACTGATTGATTGTTACAGATAGCATAATATAGTTTGGCCCGTAATTAATTTGCGTGATTCATTTGTTTCATTATCTTTATCAAAAAACAACTAAAACATATTGTCATTCCTTAAAAAGAGATACACATGTAAAGGCGTAAAAAACACATTCCAGTAAAACGGAATAATACCTGGCATGCTAGTTACTGGTATTACACATGACAGTATGATATCTATAAAAAAGATTATAAAACTCCTAGTTTCCGTCCGCGTCGTATTAAAAAAATAAAAGTAAGTAGACTATCCTCTACATCTATACCAAATTTCAAGATCAGTTTAGCAGTTTAGGCTACAAAGTATTACGATCACCCATCTATCTAACCATTCGTATTTATTATATTAGTAAGATAAGATGTCTACAATCATACTGTAACATGCAAAATTAATTTAAACGAGATGTTTCCTACAAGACTAGAATAATTAAATGAAAATTCCAGTAACTTACATAAACAATTCCATTCGTCTTGTTATTTGTGTCAATTGAATCGACCACACTGCATGGCGTCAATTGCTCTCATTAAATGCCATGTCAAATTTATTTAGGCGTATAATTCCTCTTCATTTTAATCACGACATAGACGCATTTTAAACTCTTTAAAATACAAATTAAATACTCTAGTAGTTCATGACGGTAGTTTAAACATATTAAATCTACCTACACCACTACACTAAAAATAGATTATATCCTTTGGCTACAGGTGACATAAAAACCTAAATGAGAAGTAAATAAACTATCTAAACAATTTTTACAAGGCTGTTATCAAAGACTAGCTGTTCCCATGCGGCTTCATCCGCACGAAATTATAAAAACTTTTTTTTATTGTTTACATTTCTCAAATTGTCAATTGCAAATGTCAAAATTACCGTTGCCATAAGAACCTTGCTTCTTTATCTTAATATAAGCTATGTTTTTTATTATTTTTTTAATTCCACGCGGACGAATTCTTGAGCTACATAGTATTTATTAAGAGATAACTAAGCTTTTACATTTAATTGTTATTCAAAAGTATAGTTCATTGGCATTGAACTAGTTACAGTTCCTTAACAATTAGAATACGTATTTAATTCAGTTGCGAAGCTGATGTCAGAACTTCAACTGCCTTTATTGTTATGTAGAATAATTATTTGAATAAAAATTGTGTGGCAATTTAAAAAAATCTAAATAATATATTACGTAATTGTTATATAAAGAGTAATTCTAATTAAGTTGTTTGTGGAATTTTTCAAATTTATCACAACTTTGAGGTTATGTTTACATTTAAAATTGTTCGTGTATTAAAGTGTCGACAAAAAACAAATTAATTTTGATTAATATGAGATTTTAATGACAAGTAACGTAGTATAAAATCAAACTCAGTTAATTTAAAACCAAAGTAAATAGATGATGAAGTTTATTAAATACATTATGTAAAGAATAGAAAGCATTAGAAATAATGTATATAAGAATATTACTTGTTTTATTATTTCAATCAGTATTAAGTAGGGACTTAGACGAAGCCCAGAGATCCGCGCGAGCGAATTTTATACAAAAACTAATCAATCGAAGAAAACATTTGGAAGGGAAAATAAAATTAATCGGAGGTGCCAATGAATTTGAAGGTAAGAAATTTATTTTTATAATGTTGTTCTTAAGATTTTTATAGCTTTTCACTTTTATATCCTACCTCTAATATCCCTAATAAATAAAACGGTTTGGCAATACGTTAGTAAATGAATCGTATATAACAAAGAAATTAAATATTCACGTAAAAGATCAGGAGACAGTCCTCGGAAAAGACGGATTGCGTGAAATGTGACATAAAAAAAGAGTAGACTGACATGTAATGATCTATTTAGAAGACCTTATTCCTACATAGTAAGATAAAAACAGAGATAACGAACCAACCCAGGTCAAGTAAAACCCATCAACATGTTATTGGCTTCAACGATTTTCAGGTAACGTGTACATCTATCACGCGGGTCGGTGGGGCGCCATTTGCGATGACTCGTGGGACCATGCTGCAGCGCAAGTCGTCTGTAAAACATACAATAAAACTGGTGTACCAACACATGGCGGACAATTCGGAGAAGCGAGAAGTATAAACAATTTTTACTTAATTCCATAATTAAAGTTGACTCGTTCGTTTAGCATCTCGGTCTTATCTTTAAAGCTTCCTAATCTGTGGCTAAATTATCAAATCTTCTTTGATCTTCATTAGAGCATGGACAAATATTTTCTTTCTTCTTAGACTTACTATCATAACTTTTATGGAATTTATCGTAGATTTACCGCTATCAGCAAAGACTGTTTTGACTCCATTATTCAAACAATTGTTATCATTAAATGATTTTATTGAATAAAAATATTAAAGCTTCTTAATTCCAGGGAAATATTGGATGGACGACGTAGTGTGTGAAGGGAATGAGGAATCATTATCTCATTGCATATTCGCTGAATGGGGAACATCTGACTGCGACAGCGGCGAAGCTGCCGGTGTCATTTGTCGAGAGAAGGAAGAAGTTCCTATACCGTTGAACTTGAAGAAGAATAAAATGCCACTTAGCCATGTGCTAGATATGCGTAGAACTAGCTTACGTCTTGTAGGCGGTAGAAATTCTAACGAAGGAAGAGTTGAGGTTAGTATGATTCTTAAGAGCGTGCGCACACCTGAAACTGTCGCACAATTGTTTAGTCTCGCTTTGATTCCTATGAGCTTATATGGAGGTGCGCACACTACTCGATTTTTAGTTGTGCAAAACATTTGAATTAACTGCGAAACAATCGACAATCGCACAACTGCTATGCGGTAGTTTAGACAAAAGTGTGTGCCCGCTCTAAAGTGAAAGATTTAGCAGAAATAAAAATAATTCCTTCACGGCTATCAGATGTTTAATAAATGCTAATTATTAAATGAAATCATAAGTCATCGTCTAGTGAAATAAAAATTATTCAAGAAATGTTTTGTCTAGCTTTGTTTTTTTAGATATATCAAGATGGATTCTGGGGTAGTATCTGTCCGGATGGTTGGACGCTCTACGAAGCTTCAGCTGTCTGCAGACATTTAGCGCTTGGTTATGCAGAGCAAGCTATCCAAACTGATTATTTCGGCTCATCTAGAATCGTTCTAAGTGGACTTCAGTGTGAAGGAAATGAGACGAACCTTTTCATGTGCAAGCACAGTGCGTACGGACAAGTGGTGTGTCCTGGTGAAAAAGGTTAGAAAGAAAACGTATTCTTATTAAAGTACTGATTAAAAAAATTGGAATATTTACAATTACATATTCATAACAGTGGTAGAGCCCGCTTTAACATCCTCGCACAATTAGCCGGCTCGCCCGGTGTAATACCACGACCACACAGAAAACAAGCGTGAAGTGAAAGCAATTCCGCATTTCGTCTGATGAGCGTGGGTCCGGAGGTCTAATTTTAGTCCCTTTCCCTTTCCACCCTTTTCCTAAGAGGAAGGGATGGGAATGAAAATTGGATTTGCCGGTGGAGGAGATGCAAAAGAAGGGGAAATGTCCTCTTTATATGCGTCTCCTCCTCCGTATTGACAAACATTGGTTTGTGGGCAGCGCTCGCTTTCCATTTCGGTGGATTCAAGTGGCTGCTTACTCGTTTGTCACCTTATATTATAAAAAAAATTGTTCATAATTGTTTACGTATGGTTAATCTCTTTTATTTCCAGGCCACGTAGCAGCTGTTGCTTGCACGCAGCAGCTGGCAGATTTACTTCTGGACACGACTGCTATAGAACGTACCGCCCACTTGCATGACGTACCCATGTATCAACTCCAGTGTGCTATGGAAGAGAATTGTTTGAGCAAATCAGCTTACGAGGTATACTACTACTGTATTAAAAGCTTACGTTATAACTGTTACTTATAATTATGGCTGCCTTTTAATTTTAGTTCTATCTTTAGTTTTAAAACTGGTCTTCGCATTTTTCCGCCGACAATATTCTGATCTATTCTTTTTGTATGTTGGCAGCCCTATCGCATATATTTACGTAAGTTTTGGTTTAGTATTATAAGATATGGTATCTCTGATTTTACATATTTCTTCTATTTGTAGATTCAACAAAGTAATGCAAACTGGCAATATGAAACTCGTCGTCTTCTTAGATTTACGGCGTCTTCGTTGAACATCGGCAATGCGGAGTTCCGACCTTATCTACCGAAGCATTTGTGGCAATGGCATCTTTGTCATATGTATGTAAACATTTTTGTTGCTTATTTGAACATTTTTATAAAAAGTATGGTTTGTTAAGAAAGTATCAGAGATATAGTGAGCTGGTGATGATTATGACCTTTTTGCAAGAATGTTATTGGCATTGTTTGTATTAAAACAATTTTGCCAGGTTTCTAACACAGTTGTATATTCATATTTTTTAGTTTTAATATTATAATCGTCAAAAAAATTAAAAACAGCGCCATCTAGTTAATTTTTGTGTAAATTTAAGATAGGTGTAATAATAATTGCTTTTGCAGGCACTATCATAGTATGGAAGTGTTCGCAACATTCGACATCCTTAATGGTGCAGGTACCAGGATAGCAGAGGGCCATAAAGCATCATTCTGTTTAGAAGACAACACCTGCTTACCTGGTATCGATAAGAAATATTCATGCAAAAATTATGGAGATCAAGGTACATTACAAAAATATTAGTTCCAAATTCCATTATGATTCAACAGAACCTAACCAATGTCTTAGATGTCCTTGCTAATTATAGATACCTATTTTTTATTATCTTTTTTTCTAGGAGTATCTGTCAATTGTTCTGACGTATACCACTACAATATAGATTGCCAATGGGTTGATGTAACAGACGTTGACCCTGGACAGTACACTTTTAAGGTTAGTTGACAATACCAAAAGCATTCAAAACACATATAGAGGAGGCATAATTGACATTAATTTGATATATCACTTGAAACATTTTTCACAAAATCTGTTATTCTGTTCAGTTTACTATACAACAAAAGATGGAGCTCCTTATAATGTAAAATATTTTATTACAAACGAGCTGTTGCCCGCGACTTCTTTCGCGTGGTATTAGAAAACATACAAACTATATAAATTACAAAAAGTTACGTATCCCTCGGGAACCGGACATTTCTCGGGGATAAAGCTTATTCCATGTTTACTCCAGACTTTGTTTTATATCTGTGCCAAATTTCAATAAGATATATTGAACCGTTGCAGAATGATCGAGTAAACATTCAAAAACTCAATTAATGAATCCCACGGGAACCGTAACTATTCCCAGGATAAAAAGTAGCCTATGTGTTCTTCCAGACTATGCTCTAAACCTATGCCAAATTTCATAGAGATCCGTTCAGCTGTTTAGGCTACAAACGCTAACAAACATCCATACATCCATCTATCTATCCATCCATCCATCCATCTAAACTTTCGCATTTATAATATTAGTAAGATTAATACAAGGTGGTACTAAACTTGACAACTGATATAGTACCTTTCAGAGAAAGTACCGGTGAAATTTTTTTGTTCAATATGCCGTGTCTGAATTTTTTAAAAGTCTATAATTAAATAAACTTAAAACTACATTTCATTTGTCACAGGTTGCAGTAAACCCACATGCAAGAGTAGCAGAACAGCAGTACCATAACAACGCGGCGTCCTGTTCACTTACTATAACTGACATTTACGCCGCTGTCTATGGTTGCCGACTTGAAAGACCATAGACCATAGATTTACGTTATCTTGAACTCTAAGCGCCTGTTCCAACAAATTGTAAATTGTCTAATAACAATCCAATGTGTAAAATATGCGATGGCAATATTGGATTTTGTTCCCATATCTGACATTTTTAAGCTATCTGAGTCTATCAGCCAGTGATGGGAGAGGCTCTTAATGTTTAAATTATACCAAAAAAAGGTATATGATCAAAGAGAAGATCTTTCTTGCATTTGTCACGTATAGTCTTCTATTCCTATTTTTGAGATCACAATCAAAAATTAGAATCATAAAGTAATAAATGTAGATGAAACCGACCGGGAACAGCTAATTAATAATTATGTTCTGTACCCTTAAGTAACTTGAGTAAACAGTAAGAAATGTTTAAACTGAAATAAACTACCTAAGAATTGCATTTGTTTTTTAAAACGACATGCTGCGACGCTATTCGTTGTGCAGACGAACAAAGAATAAACAGTCTTTTGTAGACTTGTCTACCACAAGAACGATGTTGCCAGAAATAAATTTTATTTAAACATGTACCATTGATGTACCATTGTTGTTATTTCTTAATTTTTCCTTTTTAGCAATTCAGTAAACTGTTAATTTTGAACCATAATTAACTGTAATTTGACAGCTGAGTATTAAGTTTTAAATAGAAGCTATCTTTGTAACTCAAAAAAAGCTATGAACATTTATTATATGCTGGTGGTCAATAGCTCGGATAGGACTGACTTGCTGGCATGCCGCCAGGACGATAACAGTGTTGCCATATACTACATGATAGTATTAGGTTAGTAAAAAAATCACAAATCGTAGTAAAATATTGTTTATTTCCTTAAAAACTATTATCACATCATAATTGATGAATTTGAGCACACCACAGCTATTTGTACAAACGGTATATCATACCAAAAACCATATAAATTATTGCATTACATATAAAATTAAAATTAGTTAAATTTGATTAAGATAATATAAGGATTTTAAAAATCAAAACATCTCGTTATTATTATTATCCGATATAATTATTTAGGTCGGAAAAAAAAAATTCATTGTTAAAAATTTTGTTATAAAATTAAATGAATTTCAAACGTAATACATTTGATTCGAAATAAATATGGATTTATCAATTTTAAATCATCGTAACATACTTTTATTACAAACTAGCTATTTCTCGCGGCTTCGTCAGAGTGTAATTAAAAAAAAATCTGCCCAGTACTTGAGTTATTTCAATAGATACAAAAATACAAATCTTTCTTCTTCATAACATTAGTATAGATGTCACATTTTAAGGTAACATTCAATATTTAGGTAATCGTATAAACTGACTAATAATTAACAGTGGTAACTCGACTCTAAAATGATAAGAGAATTGTTTTACGACTAAACTATCGCAGAACTGTTTAATCGAACTTTGATTCCTATGAGCTAATATGGAGGTGCGCACACTACTCGATGTTTTGTTGTGCAACTAAACAGTTGAATTGGCTACGAAACAAACGACAATCGCATATCAGTTGTGCGATAATTTACTTAAAGGTTTGCACTTAATGTCAGAAAATGTTGTAACAATGTATTCAATACAGGTTCCTGTCTCAGCCCTGACCTGGTTGCACGAGTCATGGGATTCCGCAGCCGGTGGTGCTCTATTTTTAACATAATATGTTTGATTGTAAAATATATTATGTAGTAAATAAGCGAATAAATATATGTGGGAATAATATTCAATACATAAAACAATCGATGTCAGAATTTTTCGAAAACCCGAATCCGGAATTGCGGATGCGTTGCCTTCCCTTAATCAATGCACATAAAGCGACTTGTTTTATACAATCATAAAGTACTAATCGATTATTGTTAAGAATAATAATTATCAATACAAAGAATTGCTGTGTTTATATTTCTGATCATTGTATTTTGAGTTGTTCGATTTTTAAAATCACAATTGTATAAATGTCTACATGAATTTAAGCTTTAAAATAAAAACAAATTTTCGATTAAAATAAAGTAAATGTAAACTAAAATTAAATAGAGAATAGCTTCAGTCCACCAAATTAAATAAAGCGTTCTAAACAAATCTATTTAAAATGTATAAAATCACAAATATAAAACCCAAGAGCAAACCTCTAATCTTAAGTATGAAAATTATTTTACACCTATAGTCAAAAATGAACGTGTATATATGAGAGGCACTATTATATTGGCCTTGACAAATTAAACAAAACTACATTGGACATGAAATAACATAAAAGGAAGGCTAATGATCATAATTTCGTTTTACTTATGCCCATCGGGTCAGCTAACTTGTTGATCTATAGTTAAATTGCATTATGGACATAGAGTAAAAACCACAGACACTCCGTTACCATTATAACCTCCTTAATGATAAACTTAACAGACATCACACAACAATCACAAATTTTTTTACATCACATTCATCAAATTACACTAAATAATACATAATCACCACTATTGCTATCAAAGTACTCTCCTACTTATCCCTTTTTAAATTTAATAAGTAATATACTTAATGTAAGGTACACAACGATCCATATCACAGTGGAGACAAATCCAGAGTAGACAGTTGGAACTGTGACAGTCCAGCCTCGCTGGAGCATTGAACGCAACGACTCTGTAGACTTTGTTAGAGGAAGAACGTAGCTGATCCATTGCAGGATTTTGTGCATACCTGAAAAGAAATATCATTTTAAATAGCATAGATTTGGATTACAAAACTGTAGCCGTACAAGTTTTCATTAAATTTGCGCAATGTGGTAGTGACCCTGAAACCGGTATAATGGTTCACCCCTAATCCAAGAGCCAAGGCACTTATCACATTTTCTAAATGAGTTTCATTCAAAATAGTAATTTTTTAAATCTTTGTATGGCATAGTAAAGGAAAAAGTATTACATCAACGAAAGAAAATGTTGCTGTAGAAAATTCTTTGGCGTAAAACTTAGTAATTCAAATATTTGTAGAATAAAAATTTAAATAAAAGAATAGCTACAAAGGAAGAGGAAGACCGAAGAAAGTATGGATGGATTGTGTGTGTTGATTGAGATATGACGGCTGATATACAAGTATGGAAGAGCAGCACATACTGTGCCGACCCTCCATAAGGGATAAGGGCAAGTGCAATTTAAGCAAGATGAAATTCTAAATAAAAGAACCAAATGTAATAAAATTAAAAGTTATACATACCTTCAACAGGCCAAATAATTCCACACAGCAACATCATAGGCAAGAAGGAACCCAGCGCCAAGTATGTCGCAGTCCTCTCAGTGTCGCAAATACACGACACTACGAATCCTAGAACAAAGTAAAAAAGATCAAATCAAAATCATGTCAATAAAACATTAAAAAGTAAAATGAGTATTGCTTGTACCAATACTTTAAGAAAAGACCATTGATTGTCTCTTATTTATTTTCTTATCATATCTCCTATTACTGCTTACCTACTAGCAGTATTAAAATGAACTTTTTTTATAGGCATTGAACATCGGTCGCGAAAAAGATTTTTTTTACATTACATGCAAACTTAATATTGAACAAGTTGCTTGTTACTCTCCATGTTTTTGTGCTTCGAGTTCTAGTTTTTTTGAGAATTTCTAAACATTCTCATAATACAGAACAAGATTCAGACTTTGATTATTAGTCATAATATTACGAAATCTTAATTATATCTACTTACCAAACGTCATCCCACATAATCCAGTGATGAGAGTCAAAACAATAACCCAGCCAACGGGGCCGTTGATAGTCAACCCGAAGAACACAAAGCCGAGTATTAAGACCATCGCAGTTTGTATTATCATTACTATCATCTGCACGAGCACATGAGCAAAGAGAATTTCAGTACCTGGAAAAATGAAATAAACTCATGAAGGATATGAGTAAAACATTTGATAGCAATAGTAACAGAAAAATAAGTAACAAATGAAGGTAAATCTAGTTCGGACGAACGTCCGAACTCCTCTAAATCCTCCAAATTCTAAATAGAATAACATTTACATACAATTGGAGCATTGCTAGATAAACTAACTGAACAAAGATAGGACCCAGCTGCTTTCACTACTTTTCGAATTAAAAAAAAATCAAATCTGTTAACCAGGGGCGGAGGTAACAAACATAAAAACGTACAGATGAACTGAGTAACTACCATTTCCTATTTGAAAAGTCAACGGTTAACAATATGGGAACAATGCACGAAGATATTAAACTATTTGATAAAATAAAATGTTGGAGGTTCAAAAATCATTTACTTACCAGTAATACCAGACACGAGAGATCTTTCCAGTATGCCTTCATTACGTTCAGCTAACATAGACCCTGATGTTAAAGCAACCGCCAAGAAGAAGATAATCCTGTAAGTAAAAATCTAATTAATATCACTATTAATAATAAATAGGGAGAATTAATAATTAACAAATAGGGAGAAATATTGATATGTAGTAAAATAAAAATTTTAATTAACCCATACTCACGTAAGTATAACACCAGGTCCAGCGAAATCGGTAAAGTTGGGATCCTCAAGACCGAAGATTGGTTGGTTGAACTAAAATAATAGAAGCAATTATTAAAAACAAAAAACGAATTGTGCAAAATTAAACTAGTAATTCCTCGAGTATGGAGTATTTGTTGATTAAATTTTGAGAAGAGCAATAAACATGATACCTATCATACTTACATGAACAGGCAACGACATAATACTCTTAGGTAAGCCACATATCTCCGCCAAATGTTCGGTCGTCGCCATAAACGCTAGTTGCAATTCCCGTGCCAGCATCCATTCTACTTGCTTGTCTAGAAACAAAATTATACGTTATTTACATACTTTCTGCCTTCTGTATATTACTAGTTATTAGTAAGAAACTTCCATCGTAGACTTCCATAAATGGACCATAAAGGCAAAGTATCTCAGATTCTGAATGTCTATGAGCAGTAGTTACTTGAATTAAATAAGCCACTTGTTCACTTGTTATTTTAATATTAAAAAAAATAGTAATCGAAGTATATTCTTACCGGTATCGTCTAAATGCGCCTCCATAGCAGAGCTCATTATGGTGCCGTCATCCGCGTGCCTCGGGTCCGTCACCCGCATTTGTAAACTCTCAGAGAAGTTGGAAGCAAAAACTAGAACAATACGCGCCTTCCCTCGCTGCGCCGCGCGCATCGCGTCTTCTTTGGTCGGATAGTATATCTGAAAACGTTTCCATTGTTTTTAGAAGTCTGTAGTATAAAAGATTTCAAAACCTTACTTTTAGTGCAACATGCAGACAGCTGAAGTGATATTTTTGTCAACATTTGTACAAATTTAATAGACTATTCTAGTAAGTATAAAAGAGCTTGTTCACTTACTAAATTGCTTTGCCTCTTTGAGAGATAATCCAAATACTGGCAGCTGAATCTCGTTAAGTTCCATTCGTAAGTTTCCGGGTCTTGAGGGCAATGGTTCGGGTCGTAATGACAGTCGGCCATCGAGCTGTTCGGTCCTAATTCGTAGTTAACAACAGCGATGGGCAAGCCGACTGGATTGTGTCCGATTGCCAAACAGAACAATATCATCTGTGATACCGGTAGACCAATTATAAATGCGATGAGACTGTAAAAAAAGATAATCTTTAACAAATCTTAATATAAATATTAAAACATCCCAACTTTATTTGGAAAATTACAAAGATCTGATTGATACGTCATCTAACGTCAGTCATGCTACAATTTCGTCGTATAGAATATTTCAATTCATTTATGTTTAATTGTACTACTTCTATGTAAAAAATAATATGTTTACATCCTATAAAGTTGTTACTAACCCCCAATTCCTGAATAGACTTAAGAAATTCTTCCACAGCAATGCCCTCATGTGATGCCATTTCATAGGTTTTATCCGCTCCAAGCAACCTGTTGGTGGTTTCTCTTCAGGTGGCAAAGCTTCTACTGGCGCGATCAATTCTGGTGTTACAACTACACGACTCTTGCTACTCATTGACACGTTGTCACCAAATTCACCAGAAATCTCTCCAATTTCCGCCTCTTCTAAGTCTATCGCAGCAGGGTCCTGGAAAGAAACATTCTCTGTATCAATACTGTTAAGTAGATAAATAATTTATTTTATTTTGAAACCAAAAATAAATGATGTTAATAAAAACATTAAAGCATAAAGATTACTATACAAAAACAAAATCAGTGAATTTTTAAGCCTCTTATTTACTAAAATTACGTAAAATTTCAAATACGATGAATGAATCACTACAAGAATTAACAATTATTTGATAAATAAAACAGAAGAGAAATCTCTTCAATTATCTAAAATTTTCTTCACCATACACAATAAACATTGATAGAAAAATATTTCATTACAAAACCTAAATATACAAATATCGGCTTTTAAATCGCCAAAGCCGTGTTACCTTCCCGGAAAATAAACATTTGGATAGGCTCAAAGCATCGCTTGTTATTTGTTTGTTTATTGTGCCCTCCAACTGTTTGGAAACATACTTATGGCGTTAAAAACACATTTTGCTTTGTAAAAGCAAACACAAGATTTTAACAAAACAAGAGCATTGAACTAGAAAATCTTACTAGTGTTACTAATTATAAATGCAGAAGATTGGATGGATGGATAGATGTTTGTTAGAGTTTGTAGCCTAAACTGCTGGATAGATACCCTGGAAGAACACGTAGGCTACTTTTTAATTCCACGTGGACGGAGTCGCAGGCGAAGACTAGTCAAATATAATACACATGCGAAATAACCTTACAGCTCTGGTTTATAATTTATAACGTGGGAGAGGTGTGAAGAGATAGACGAGTGGCATATCGACTAACTTTATTTCGGAGTACCGACCTTTACCTAACATTTTAATTTTAATAACACAGATAAAATATATGACAGATCTCAGTGCGTTTAACCCCTTACTTAACCTTCCTTAATTAGTTGTGCTAGCTGTTGTAGTTATGAATTTAACATGGTCACATACATTTCTTTAGGAATGCCCTTAGCTACACTTATCCTAATATTTACATTAGAAATTCTACTTATCGTTATTTCACCCTTCATTCCAATTCTTTAATTTTAAAGACTCTGTATTCTCTTTTGGTCTCTTACCGGTATCGCTGGTAATTCCACCTTTTCCACCACTCCGGCCAAGATGCTGGAGCGGCGACGTTTCCCCATATTCTGCAGCACCGCCAGCTTGAGGAATACATCTTCTAAACTCTCGGCCTGGTAACGTCGGATCAGCTCGCTTGGAGACTCTTCGGCGAGGAATCGACCACCGCGCATCAAACCGATCTAGAAACAAAATTTATTTTAAACAAAATGTAATTAAACAAACAGTTGTTATGGTCAATTAGCCAACGACATTAACGAAAAATTTAAAAACAAACTTATTGAAGATAGTAGCAGGAGAAAAGAAGTACATAACTAGTCTTTGCGATACAGACTGTGCCTAGTTCGGGGACCCTGGATCAATTCCCTGTGCAGTCTGACGTTTGTCATTTTTTTTTATTTGATTTTTTATTTAATGAATGTATACTGTACATGTACAATTTACACGACGTTCTTACGGTGAAGGAAAACATCGTGATGTCTGCACATGTCGGCGAAGGAATACAAAGATATGTGTGAAGTCAACCAACCCGCAGTGGGCCAGCGTGGATGACTATGGCCTAGTCACCCTTACTTAGGGTAGGGAGCTGGTTATGATGATGAATGATGAAATACTGTATAAATCAGTTCAGTAAATCATTCTCATGTTACAAGTTGACAATTTAAAAACTCACAATATTCGCTTGTTTAGTTTCATCGATGTAATGAGTTGTGATGATGACAGTTGTTCTTCCGCCTTTGGTGATCTCTACAAGATGGTCCCAGATACTGAAAGAAATATTGATAACTTTACAATAACCATTAAACGAAGACATTTTAATCTCTATCAAGATGATTTTGACCTTTGACTAAACTGTAGGTCAACTATTTAGTTGCGCTTTCAATCCTATGAGCATATATGTATGGAGGTGCGCACACTACTCGATTTTTAATTGAACAACTAAACAGTTGAATTGGCTGCGTAACAAATGACAAACGCACTACAGTTGTGCGATATTTAACTCAAACGTGTGCGCCCGTTCTAATTATTAATTTTAATTTTGCTACATATGGTCCTTCGAGTGGGATTCAAGAAACTACAACTACCATTATATTTAGCTTATTGGTAATACTGAAAGTATTAGTAAAAGATTATCTCTTTTCTATTATACCTTTGTCTCAATACTGGATCAACGCCCACAGTCGGCTCGTCCAATATCAGTAGTTCGGGCTCGTGCAGCAATGCAGCTGCAAGCGAAACTCGTCTCTGCTGCCCTCCGGATAAGTTCTTAACTTGTCTGTCAAAAAAAAATCATGAATACATCGAAAATGGGTTCTTATCTAAATGTACTGATGTTTTTTTGTAAAAATGAGTCATAGCAATCAGCTATTTAGTTAATAATGCAATTAAATTATTAATTATTGCATAATAATTAAATTAACAAATAAACCTAAACATCGAATAAATAAGTGTTGAAAATTAGAATTATTAATTCAAATAACTTGTTTATTTAAAATCTCAAATGTTTTTGTTTTTTATCTTCCTATTCAAATGTTATTTAAAAAATAAACGTAAGTGACTATTTGCAAATGAATAAAGATTTCTTTGATAAAACGGATTCCCACGATGTGTAGGTACTTATATTAAAATAAGTATATTTGAATATGACAATAGATGTAGTCAAAATAATAAAAAAAATGATTTTATAATAGACTTAAAATAGGGATGACGTAACTCTTTGTTTTCTTGAGAGAAGGATCGCGAAAGTATTTTCTAATTAATTCACTGTGAAACTAAATTAATTACTATACAGGGTGTCCCGGAATATGTATACGAACCACAGACAAGAAATCTTTTATCTTTTTTCTATTATAAGGTGACAAAATGCAAGTGGCCGCCTGAATCCGGCAAAATGGCGTCCACGACCCATAGACATCCGTAATTGCAGATGCGTTGTCTACTTAATCGACTTTGGAAGATGCACATAAAAAGGATACCCTTACTATGCATCTCCTTCGCCGTCAAATACTCTTACCTAGGGATAGGCTAAAATTAGGCCAGAGCCTTAACTTTAGTCCCTTTCCCTTCCCTTTTTCTTAAAAGAAAAGGATGGGAAGTGAACGTGGATTTGACGGTGCAGGAAACACATAGGAAAGGGAAATATCCTCTTTATGTGCGTCTCCTCCATCGATCAAGGGTAGGCAACGCATCAACTTTTGCGAATGTCTATGGGCAGCGGTCGCTTCGCCATTTTGGCGGATTCTGTTGGCTGCTTGTCGTTTGCCACCTTATGATATAAAAAAGGCCTCCAGTGTACACTTTCTTAGACATGCCATATATTTTTTTTCCACAAATTAAACCTAATAGTACATTACTTTTTCACTTTACAAGAATATTTCATCGCACAAATGAGTTTTTTAATGAATATAGTACTAGTATGTGCATTAATAGTCTGTGGTTTTCCTTACCTCGTAGGATTGGGCAGCTGTAGCAGTGATATCAAAAAGTCAGTCCTTTCATCCACATCCCTCGAGCCCATGCCAGCTATCCAACCGAAGTATATCATCGTTTCACGAATAGAGAACTCTCCAAAGAGTGCAATTTCCTACAACAATAAAAGGTTATTACTAACATTACGGAAAAGAAAGATTTTTATTTTTGGATTTCTCTATACATTGCGATAACTCAAAAACTAGGTCGATTTAAATTTTTTCACCTTTAAAAAGCAACGGTATCAATGAGTTAGCCTATGTTTTTTTTTAATTTCACGAAGACGAAGTCGTGAGCAACAGTTAGTGATCTATAGAAAGGAACATGGAACCATGGGTTTTTGTATTCTTTAGAGTAATTAAAATATTCTATCTAATTTTTAACTTAAGACATCCCAAACATATATTTAAGTTCAGTTGGACTTAGACTGATTTTTCATGATGATAAACACACTGAGGGAGTTCATTAGTGATCAAATAATGACTCTGAGTGAGCAAGTTGATTACAATAATTAATTAGCGAGCCGCTTTTAATTTATTTTTACCTCATCGTATTGATTTTACTTCCATAGTTATTCTGCCACGATTAGATAAATATTTGTACTTCAAATACCATTCGTATTTACATAATATTCGTAAGATACGGATTTCTTACCACGATTGGATTATTTTAGCTCCCGATATTTCGGCACAGAAACCCGTATCTTACGAACATTACATTTGTAAAAACCATGACAGTTTAAAGTTACATTGGTATTTAGTCGCTTAATCCAACATGGATTATGCGACTAAATAACTAACATTTACAAAATAGCTACATTACGATAACTATCTCGTAAAAAATGTTTTAGAAACGAGCAGGAAGGCGGCTATGTATATTATTTGGTCTTATGAACATCGGGTTAGAGAATTTCATCAGCATAAGAGCGCACACAGACTTATGACTATCCAGTAACTGGTAAGTCACGCTTTGATTCCTATAAGCTCATAATGGTGCGCACACTACTATATTTTTAGTTGTGCAACTAAACAGTTGAATTGGCTGCGAAACAATCGACAATCGCACAATAGTAGTGCGATAGTTTAGTCAAAGGCACCCGCTCTAACTATACATGATTTAAATTCCGTAAATCATGTTATGAAATTTGAATTTGGAATATCATCATGACGGGTAAAGTAAGTTATATAACTTGAGACAACGTCAATTAACAACAAACACTATTAATCCGGTTGAACGAACAAACAAGTCTAAAGTCCAAGTCGAATACGAGGCTAGGATACAGCCTTAGTAAACAATTGTCTGCAAACTATTAAACACGAGATTCAAACTACAGAGTGTTTTAAAATACACAAATTTTGTACAATACATTTCTAGTATACAATAAAATACAATTTTTCTGTAACATTTTTTAATCATTCGCTTACGTTAAAATAGTTTTTTAAACCGATAATGGATGTTAATAAATAATTGCTTGTCAGTTTTAATATCACTCCCAACATGATTGGGATAATGCCAGGAAGATTGATTGGTTAAGTCGCCAAAATTTTGTTCAGTTCAAAATACAGGATGTTACAATGGAATCTATAGACAAATAAACCTACATATGTCTCCTATTAGCTGTTCCCGTGCGGCTTCATTCGCATGAAATTATAAAGTTGCAAATGTCATAATTACTGTTACCATAACCTTGCTTCCTTAATGTTGGCAGCTTGTAGTTACTGGTGCCTTTCCCACATGAGGCTGGTTTTTTTTTTTAATTTATTTACCCCCTAAGTTTATTAGTGTAAAAATATATAGCCTATAGCGTGTTGTAAGTGTAGGCATTTTTATTAAAGAAATAATTCTTCAAAAATATACTGTGATTGCTGACATCCTACGCCACGAAGTGTGTGTTAACGTTTCATTATATTAGTGTAGATAATATGGACTGGCTACTTTTTTATTTTAATATAGCGTGGATGAAGTCGCGGGCAACAGCT